TTGTAGTTCAAAACGTTACATAATATATTTATTAAAAATTAATAGTTTTTTATTTGAAATTAAAGGCAAACAAACATAAAAATATATCCATGCACACAACATATAAGAATTGGCTAAATCAACTGTACTTATATTATGTTTTAATAACTAGATTGGACAGATGTTGAAAGATATGTCAAATTAGAGAGTGTTACCAATCATTTTCTTTTACAACATTATAATTAGGTACATGATTATGAATAAATTTATATATGTTGATCATCAAGAATTATTAAACGACTACCAATAGCATTCAGTGTAGGTATATAGAAGTTCATCAATATGACAAACTCAAACACATTTTGTCAACTAAAAAGTCAAGAAAAAAGAAACATATAGATAGATGATAATATGCTGCATAAAATATTAGAATTGAAACTCACAGAAATTAATAAAACCATGTGTGTATGTGGGGAGAGGGCCAGGTACTAGCAATTATATGTTGATCAAAATGAGGTTATATAAATATAAATATATAAAAAGAAAAGCATTATATTAGTGGACTTGCAGATCCACATGTCTTCTAAAACTGCATGTCATTGCTTCAACAAATCAAGCATCCACATGAGTTCTCATTGTCAACTTCAAATTAACAAATTAAAACTCATTTGCTTTTCAACTTGTCTTGTTGAGATCAAATCAAAGGCAATTCTATCCATCAACATACATTACAACAATTAATATTTATCATATATACTATATATATATATGATGAACACCAAGATCGATATAATTTCTTCTCATCTCATATATCCCTGGCCTCATTAATTAATTAATGATTTGATTATTCTTAGAAAGCATAATTAAGAAACCTTAATTAATGGAAAGTGAACATACCAATACCAGCTGCAGTGTGCACCAATTAATGCTTCTGAAACTCCTCCGATCTATATTATATCCTTCAAAATCCCATCAAATTACGTACCTAGCTAGCTAGAATGGAGGCCGAGGAAGACTTCCACCCCATCCAAAAAAGTCACTCGGGAACGGATGATTTCCTCCCATATTAAAAACACCTCCACCATCGCCACCCTGTGCACTTGCCGTCACACCTGAAGCCTGCGAAACCGAAGGCTGAACCTGCTCTCCTCCTTCCTCTTCATCCAAGGGCAATCTCTCAAACACCGCGTTAGAAAAAGATGCAGCCATTAATAGCACCGGACCTGAAGCCACCAGCGGCCCCACCACACTGCCTCCAACCACCTGTCCCTGTCCTCCTGATAAGAAAATCGATAACCCTCCCGAACCAGGCGGCGCTGGAGGTGGGAGCACCGTCCCAGTCAGTGAAAGTATCTCAAATCTCCCGTGCAGAGTCACTACACTTGCTCCCGCTGGCTGTTTTAGGGTAACATTTATGACCGTCCCGGAGCCGCTAAGAACACAAACTCCTCTTCCTCTCCTCCTAGCATAAATTGTGACACTCTCCACCACGTCGTTGCCGTTGGAAACTTCCAGAACATGGGATCGGAGGGCATTTGGGGAGTCGCGGGTGACTATAATAGGAGGTTTAGGTCTGTTTTTGGATCCAGCAGGACGGCCACGGGGGCGACGAGTTGAGGTTGTAGCTGCAGCGCCTCCTCCTGAACTGGTGGCAGCGGTGTCTGAATCGAGCTTGGGAGAGCCATCTTGAGAGTCTTTAGAATCGGAAGACGGGGTCTGTTGTTGGTCTTGAGGAACTGAGTGTCCCTGAGGATGTAGAAATTGGTGGGGGAAGCCTGACATCTCTACATCTATATCTCTCCCAATTCCACTCTATGGATCCGGAGCTGATGTGTATAACCTAAAATCAATTAAATCTGACTGGCCTGTCTTTCTTTCTTTCTTTATATATATATATTTTTTGGGTAAAAACTATGGATTAAATTTTATACATGTAATTAAGAGTACAGGCAGTTAAACCACTAGATCCCATGGTTTTTCTTTCTTTTTATATATAAAATTTTAATATGTAAAAATTAAGAATTAAATTTTATATTTGTAATTAAAAGTACAGATAATTTTACTGTTAAATTACAGGATTGATATGATTGATAGTTATTTCTTTCTTTATAGCCAGCTATAATATACTACTACCAAAACCAAGATAAAGCCCCCTTTCCCTTCTTTCTTATTAAAGCTTGCTTAAAATCATTTTGATTTCTAAACTAGTGTTATTTATAAAAAAAAAAAAAAAAATGAAGGAAGTAGAAGAAGAAGAAGAAGAAGAATTGGGTGGATCCAAAGCCAAGAATCGGAAATAAGGAGCTATAATTAGAAAGTGAAACAGTTAATTAGAAATTATGAATCTGTACTATTATCTAAAAACAAAACAAGTGCAGTTGCATATATAAACAGGGTAAAAATAAATAAATAAAAACTCTCGAAATCAAGCTTTAAATATTCCACTATCTAAGAAAACTGTCTTCTTTCCATATATATATAATTTTGAAGAAATTATACATTTCCTTGTCCAGAAAAAATCCATCTCCGAAATGAAAGAAGAAATTATATACTCCTACAAATGTTTAAACAACAAAATAAATTGAGGTTTAATTAATTTTTAAGCTTTCAAAGGTAGTATTGTAACTTGAGAAGGAAGACGGGTTAAAATAACAGGAGATAATTAATTATTGAGATGGGAAAGAAGAAAGGAATAATATATTATGGAAGAATAATGATAAGTAAAATTAAAATTTAAAATTAATGATATAAGATGAGTTATGTTATTTAAATTATTAAAAAGTAAATTTTATAGTATTTAATAATTAATCCTTTTTATTTTATAAAATTCATAATATTATATATATTAATTAATTTAATAATAATATTTTTTTAATACATTTAATAATAATTGATTATTCAAAATAAAATAACCCTCACATTTCTTTAAAACCCTCTCCACTTAACTTATAATTTGAGTTAAACTTAAAATTTTAGCCTCTTAAAAATTACACCATATCATTAGAGTAATAACATTACTTTATTGATCTCAAATTTTCATTCTCCCTATATTAATTATGAAAATTCATTACGCGCTGTGTCAGACTGTGAGAAGGAAATCGCAGAAAATGCAGCATCCCACTATTACCAGGACAAAACCCTTACGGTTTCATCAGCGTACGTAGACCAATATACTCACCTCCTGCGCGTAGGGGTTTGGATAATTAAGGATTTTTGACCCAGCATAAAAACACATTTATTATATATTTTTGTCATTAATATATATAATAAAATTAAAAATTAATATTAATTTTATTAATTATTTAATAAAAAAATATCCATGCGTTATAAATGTTAAATTTAATACTAATTTTTATTTTTTATTTATATTTATAATAAAAAATACTTTTAATATGTGTTATGGGTTATAACCATGAGCTGTCCCTTGACTTGAACTTAAGATAAGTCATATTCCATCCACAAATCAATACTCATTCTTGAACTACCAATCACACTACTTAGAAATGAGAGAATGAATTCTAGTCAATAACACAAAAACTTCCCCATCTTAAATAAATAATCGACATGCCTGTCGTTGAATGTGCATTAGGATATGAATGCACCACCATTTAGTGGCATGCAGCTTAGCAACATTTACATAGGTAAAGAAATAAATTCAGCTGATTGCATGAATGGTTGATATGCAAAACTCAGTAAAAGGAAAAGTAACATAGTTTTTAACAGGTGAAATTTAACAGGTAGATGCACATTAACACATTCTGACTCATTTTTTACCATGATTTAAATTTTAATTGATTAAAAAAATTAATTTTAATAATTAGAAGTTTATATTTTATAATAGCAATTTAGTGAAAAATAATTTAAGATAACCTTTTTATATTAATTTTTTCATATAATCTTACATATCGTTTAAATAATTGATTATTTATTTATTTATTTAAGATTTGTAATATTAAATGTACCAACTCATTTAATTATATGTGTAAATTATATAAAAAGATAATATAAAAAAATTATCTGTATATTACTGGACTAATTTGATTAACCATGTGATTGCCTATGTGGCAGCTAATTTGGGACCACAAGGGTGCCAATTTGAATTTCCATTAGTTTCATAGGGCTAAATTTAACAAATAATCTTAAATAAATAAAAAGAGTCAATCATTTAAATAATATGTAAAATTGTAAAAAAAATTAGTATAAAAAGATTGTCTTTAATTATTTTTCACTAAATTAATATTATAAAATATAAACTTCTAATTATT